GTGACAACGTTCGGTGGGTGGAGAAGAGACACTGAACTTTGAATGCCACTTATGGACTTGTTTTCCCTACTTTTATTAGGGAAGTCATTTTACTCATTTTCAAGGAACTTGTTTTCCTCCATACCAAACACATCCCTAATGTAAAATATCATATTTAACCCAAAAGAAAGAGACAGATAAAATAGTAGAGTTTTTAACACAACTAAACCGAAAAGAAGAGAGGATACAGACCTCACCAGCTTTAACCAATATAAATGAGCCAACTTCCAGGTCACTCACAGGAACTTCAATATATGACAAGTCAGTGAAACTAGGCAAAGTTTGATTGTCTACGTGCAGCACAAGAGCAAATTCTGGATGGTTTTCTTTTAATTCCTTTACATCACCCTTGGAGCGACTCGTGAAATACTCTTCAGCTGCACAAACAAATATATATAAGATAAAAAAATTCTAAGTCCTCCAGAGGACATTCCCAAACTTTTTACTTACCTATATGAGCTAAATTGAACATTGCAAGAAGCAAGCCACCTTCCAATACGTTCCCCATAAAAACTGATGCAAAAGCTGCGAGAGCCATCAGTACATGAATATTGATTTTACCACCAGTAATGTCCACTAATGCATCAAGTGATGCTGAGACCTGACAATAAGGTGAAATTTTAATTATAGCACTAGCTGAAGGAATTATAATATTTCAACTTAAGAAAAGACAGAGTAATTGTGACTATATCATGCATGGATTTACACATTGATATTCAACATCATACGACACCATTGAAGAGAGATCCCGAGGACTTAAAAGATCCAAAGTTCATACTTCTCAAATGTAGGGTACTTGACACCTTATAATCAGTGCTAATTCTGTATTTCAATCTACTCGCTAAAATTTGAGACTAACAGATTAGACTTATGAATTTAAATCACAACTCTCCTACTTAATTAATCTCATTATAAGCATTTGAAATTCGAGTATCTCCATAGTCAAATTGTTCAATCAAACAAGTCAATTGTACAGTATAACTGAAAGCATTTGTGATTGCAAAATAATGAACAGCGAAAAGAGAGAAGATCTAATACCCCAACGAGAGGAAAGGCAATGAGAGCGAAAATACGCTGGAGAGGCAGTACAGCGGGCTTGGGAAGAAAGTAAGGGCAAACAGCAGCAGCAATAAACAAAACCGCTGAGCAACAGCAAAGCTCTAAATTCTCTCTCAAGTAATTCGCCAACTGGGTCCACCTGATAGCATTTGCAAACTTGAGAAATACCTCCTGAAATTTCGTGAGCTTCCCGTCGCCTTCGTCAGGACCATGGTGGTGGTGATGATGATTGTGATGATCATGACTATGGTCATGGTGATGATGATGGTGACTGTGAGAGGAACAGCTGCAAGCAGAACAGTGGATGCGTCCACGGAACTGAGCGGAGCTCCGAATGGGAACTGAAGATTTGGGTTTCAATGAAGAGAGCAAGAGATTCCGGTTGACTTTGAGTCTCCTTGTAGATTTGTAGATTGAACAATTGATCCCTGCGAAGGAAGTTGAAAGACGCAGAGCTTCCATTTTTTGCCGAATATTTTCACTGAAAATGCATTTTTTGTTCCCTTCTCTCTCTCTCAATAATAATGGGGCAAATTGCAATTGAGGAGTGTGGCTATTGTTGTATCATCTACACAACACTATGTGCTCACTTGGGCTATGGTCTAGTCATGGATTACTTGTCAAGATTTTGTGCTTTCAAGGACTCGTTTGACAATTTTGGGTTAGCTAAGCACGTTTTTGTCTATTCTCACACTAGAGTTAGATGTTGTCAAAAATAATTTCCTTACCTTTTTGAAATAATGATAAAATTTACATTCACTCACCTATTCAAACCTCACTTATGAACTTTTACAAAATATGTTGTTTTTATCTATCCTCCAATAGTTCGTGGATATTATTTTGTAATAATTGCTATAATTCTCATTTTACATCTACCAAAGGAGATCTCTAACGCATTGACCAAGGGTGCACATTTATATGTTATGTATAAGGATATAAAATTTTAAAAAATTGATAGGAAAATATAGTAATAATAATAGTACAGTAGTAATAGTTAAGAAACTATTCAAGAGTTTCGTATTCGAATTAGAAAATATTGGTTCTACAATCACTGCTAATTGCTATCGAAGTGAGCTTTATTTAAAACTTAATATTTCTCTCTACATAAATTCACAACAAGCACTTTAAAATTAAAATCCAAATTACCTTTCAGTCCTATACGATGTGAAGAAAAGGGGAAAGAAATGAAGTAACAAGGACAAGTATACCAAAAATTGGAGACACAATGTAACAAAAAGGTAGGTGAGTCCAAATACAACGAATTAATTGCAAGTTATAACCAACCAAATTCTCGGGGTTACTAAATGGGCTTTGGACACCCGGCTCCCAAATCTTTGCTTTACGAGTTCCACCCTTCAAGGGGGTGAAGAAAATAGAATAATAAGACGGATCCCCACACAAAAAACGGAACATCACATAATAATTTAAAAACAGCTCAACGTAACAGCAAACTAATAGTCCTTCAAGAGTATCATATGTAGTCATCAAAGCCAAAGTTGATGAGTCCAATCTTAGTATAAAATAGCATAGCAATAAAACCCTTCCAGCCCCTACGCTATGGTGAAGGGCAGCTAAAATTTGTAACTGAAGTACAAGAGTTCACGATCATCTAGATTTTTTGTGGCACTAAACTCTATAGGTACATGCAATTTAACAACAATCAATAAACTATTGTAACAGGCACTACTCTCCTATCGAAAGTTGACACCTGACTATATAAGTTGCAAATGAATAGTTCTTCAGGAATAAAAAATGATCTACTGATACAGATCACAGCACACAACAACAAAGAGTTTGCCCTATAATTGTGGGCATCACCAGTAGGCATATCGGCATGTTCAAGAAATACCGCTGATGCTTCTGATGTGACTCATTCTGATTCTAGCTAAATTGGTAGACTGGTCAACTTTCTTTATCCTTACCATTTCCTTCAGAGGCTTTAGGACCATCATAAGCAGATAGGAAGAAAGTACCCTGGTTTTTCTGCAAAAACCTGCAATCACACAAGCACAAGGTAAAGGCTCACAAGATAATACATCAACATAATTGGTGTTTCCTCAATCCAAGTCACCCTCGAAGCACCAAATCTCAGCCAGAAAAATTGTACAGTAGAATTCTTTAACTTAATGTTGCTGTTGAGCTGGTTCTCACAGTAGGCAGAAACCATATGGATACCTTTTATTCATTTTCACTTTTAATCAGTTAAAATACTAAGAAGCCCTTCCATTTTCTTTTTCATCTTTTGATAAGGTATGGTAAACTGAACACCCCCCGCCCCCCTTTTCTGGTAAGGTAAACTAAAACACCCCATTAGGGTGCGGCGGCTCTTCCTTGGTCCCTGAGTGAATGTGGGATGCTTCATGTAACCGGCTGCTCCCTTTTAAGATAACCTAAAAGACCCTTCTTCTTTTCATTAAAATCTGATGCAACTCCTTTTTCAGGCACATCACCACAGTGGTTAAAATTCACTGTGAAATTGCTGCGCTAGCCTAATATTCAGAAGTTAAAGAAGAAGATGAATATTATTAAATATTCTCAATGCTTAAGATGTTTTCTTGAAAATTGTCAGGGAATAAAAAAGGAATCCAAAGTAAGCTAGTGAACTTGCTGGTGCTTTCCAGAAGAGAATCATGTGATTAGACCAATAGTAAAAAAAGATTAGGTAAGGCCAGCCAATGCAGAAGTTATCAAATTGCACCATCCTTGCACAGCTCCCACAGTGAACACTTCAGCTTGTGGGCTGTTTCGAGGCAGCAATTCAATCACAACATAATTCTGTAACATATAACAATAATAATAATAATAATAACAATAATAATAATAATAACAACAACAACAACAACAACAACAATAATAATAATAATAATAAAAACAACTTGTCCAGAAGGAAGTAAAGGAAAAGAGAATATACTTGAGAAAGTCTAGAAATTTCTGTTGCAACTTAGTCAATGACTCCTCGTCAATTTTTGCATATGCAATCAACTCGGGTAATTTTACTGCAACATCAGCAAACAAATTAAGTTAAGACTTCACAATCTTGTAAGAAAATATCTTTTGATCAAGTAAAGATATACAAGTGTACGAACAAACATATAAAGGTTATAATGTTTTATCCTCTGCAGCATGATATTTTTTAAGGTACATATCTTTGTCTTGGGGTCAATTAAACAACATGAACATTTAGTACTTTTTCATACCAAAAAGGCGCAATAGATGTTCAGCACCATATACACTAGATGGAGAGACATTATCTGAAACTGCTTCATGATACTGTTGGCGCTCCTTCTTGTACAATAAAAGCGCAGGCAGTGCTTTGTCAAAATAGCATCGAATTCCATTCAGTATCTCCCCAACTGAATCAGTCATCCTGCGAGGATCAAACATTTGGAAGACATTTTTATTAAATGAACTATACCTCGAAAGTCATTTTATGCCATACTAAATACATTGTGTATGCATTGACTGCTCATGCAAAGGTACTTGTGACCAGCAGAGATGATATACTTCTGCAAATAGTGTTGGCTTTTGATATTATCTACTTCTGCAAATAGTAGTCAACAAGACGGGAAACTAGGTCTATTCTGAAACTGTAGTAATTTCCAATGACTTAATGCAGACACATAGGAGTTGAAGCTAACTGGTTGTGTACTTGTGTATATGAATCTGATAAGAAGCAGTTCAACAAGATCAAATGTAACTTGCTTTTTTTGGTGGAATATCCTCACCATTTAGCAATAAGTCAACTACCAACTTGACATCTAGTAAGCCTAATTTAGTGAATTGACAATATCATACACTAGACTATAGGTCCTTAAGCATGCATAAGTTTTTCTGACAGAGTTAGAAGCTAAGTTTTGAAAGAACCAATAGCACCCAAAGGTGTTAAGACTTTTTCCCCCCCAAAGGTATGAACTAGTGCTCCATGAAGTAGGGGAGAACCATGAGGTCTCAACTTCAACTCCAATAGAGACAAAAAACATTAGGTGATTTCTTCCCATTTGCCCAAGCCTTGGTGGGCAAAGCTACCCAATATTTGTACCGGTAGGAGGTAATAGGTATCCGGTAGAATTCGTCAAATATTTCTTTTTTATGATGGTGGTTTTTGGGCCAGCTTTTGCGCACCTTGACGAATTCTACCGGATACCTATTGCCTCGTACCGGTACAAATATCGGGTAGAACCAATATATTCCAACATTAGCCATGCAAACTACAGGACACCAGAATGAAATATAAATGCATAAACCTCAGCTCAGCAATAAATCCACCCTTACATGAAAAGAAAAGGGCAGTGAACTTACATCCCGTCCTTTTTGGATCGGTATTCAAGGTACTTGGTCAATATATCATCCACACTGGGAGATCGTGGGAGCTTCACAAGCTGTTAAGAATAACACATCAGATATCATCACAGGCAATATTGTATAGCAACCAACACTAAGAACTAACATAGTCAGAACAAAATGAAGAAAAGAAATTTGATCAACTCCAGCATGCCACTTGTAGGGAAGAATACAGACATGTAGCTGGACAGATCAGTTTCATATTATCCAGTACTATTCTAATCCCATAAAATCCTGTTCAGATTAGCTGGGGCCTGGGAGGGACTTAGTCTAGTAAATCACCAAAGATCTCAAAAGCAAATTAGGCATCGCTCATATCTATTTGTCTGTGCCTTTTTGGGGGGTTTCAAGTTGAGATAAGATGAGTCAGCAATTCTACTTCTGGTTGATTGCTCTATTATGGGTTTCCCATTTTCCATGGCTGATCACTCATCTATGCTCCAACCCAGCAGCTAACACAAGAAAACGCTTTAATTACATCCACAATGTGTCCAATACTAGGACTCTAGTCTTGTTGGAGCACGGCTCCCGCTAAGCAACCTTAATAGTATGATTGGAGCTATATTACTTGATTAAAAAAAAACAATTATAGGAGTCAATCTCCATGAAACACTAGAAATCGAAACAGAGGAATCCAAGTTTTTTTGTGTCCCGAGTACTTCCAGTTTCCGTAAAAGCTCGTGCAAGTTTTTTGGCAAACAGGTTTTCTATCAGCTACACAAACAAAACAGCCTATTGATGAGCAACAGGAAACTTCTCACTGTCACTTATTTAGGACTGAAGTGACAACTGTTAATGAGCTTGTCAACAGAAAATACGGCATATAAACCTAGTCATTATCCTACACATATATACCTTATTCTGATGCATGATGAATTCCCAATCATCAACCAGTTGCTTCTTCAAAGTAGATGGAATCTGAATCTTCACAAGTTTCTCTACAGATACATTGCCCTTCTGCCATCAATGACCAAGTTACAAATCAATATCTTTCAAGCACTAATACTATACAACAAAAACCACTACTACTACTACGCCTTACCAGAAAAAAAGAAGAAGTTCCATACGAGTCTAATACCTATCCTCAACTAGTAGTTATCACCTATATGGATCTTTTTCTTCCATTGTCCCTATTTTTACCTAAGTTTGTATTGATCAAAGCAATTGCAGGTCTTCTTAGATCACTTCCTTCAATGTAATTCAAGCACTTAAATAATGGCTGAGAAACTTCTCAATAAAAAATGTCTTCAAAGGCAAAAGAAGTGTGATTAGAGAGGAATGGGATAGTGATGCCTAAATCACACAGCTTAAGATGACTAAAATG